GTGAAAGAATCCAGTGCTAAAACAGCATTTATGCTGTCTGAGATATAGTAAAATCTCACAAGACAAATTTAAAGTAATATTTCTGCCACACACCTGCTATGTTAGCTGTAATAGCCTCCAGATTTTATATAAATTAGTTTAAAAACATGGGCAGGGAAGATAGGAGTAGGATATGGAATTTTTTAAACCCTTCAATTTTAGCAGCTTTTAATTTTTAAGAAACTGAACCTATATCCTATAATGTTAGATATTTTGTATATAGTTTTCAGCAGGATAAAAAACGTAAAAGACTATTTGAAGGCAAGAACATTTACTCCTCTCATTCTGTGTAAGTTAGAGCAATGCAGCAGGTGCGTGACAAAAATATTATGTACTAATATGGTCCAAAGTCATTCCATTTGCTTGTTTAATGATGTTCAAATTTCATTGGCCAGTTCTTCAGTTTCTGCAGAGCTATCTCCATTAACTGTGATCTTCATATCCTCTTCATATCCAGGGGGCATGAAAGCCAAAGCATAAGGGAAAAGCTTATGACAATTTGCTCTATAAGCTTCAGCAGCATCTTTACAGTCTCCTAGGCTACCATCACACAAGGCTTCCAACACCTCCATGCAGGTCTGAAGGTTTCTGTTGGTGAGGGACCCATCAAGTGTTGTTGCCAGCTCTACTGGCAACTTCTGACTAGAGGAATCTAAATAATACACCATTTTGGCAGCTGTTAATCTATGTGGCAATGAATCTGAATTCCTTTTCAGAAAAGTTTCATTAAAATTCTTTGGATTTGTTGCTTCAAAAAGATGATTCATTTCTTGTTTTAGTACTGTTCTAACGGTTTCAGGTAAGTCTTTACTTTCACACACAGAGTTAAAGAGTCGAATAATGCATTCATGAAGCCAGGGATGACTAGAATCAATAGCAAATGCCTGCTTTACTGATTGTAGCATCAAAAGAAACTTTTCTTTCCTAAAGTAAATCTCAAAGGCAAAAAGATGAGTTTCTATCTTGTTCTTCACCAAATTCTTCAACGGTGTTAAAAACTTAATAGCTTCTTCCAATGGAGTTTCAACCTTGGCCAATTTCTCTGGGATAAGTTCTTCTTTGGGGCCTCCAATATCCTCCTCCTCATCATCTTTTTTCTTTTTCTGATTTCTCCGCTACTTTTCTTTTTCTGCATTTTTTTCTCTTCTTCTAGCTGGGCTTTCTTTTGAGCTCTTTGTTTATTACGTAGTTTCTTTAACTCTTTGTCAGACATATTTGCTGTATCAACTTCGTGTCCTTTATTCTCATTTGTAAGAGGGTTGTCATGAAGCTTCAAATAGATCTCAATAGCAATTCTTGCTGCTTTGAAGTAAAATGGATGCTGCCGAAGAACATCTTCTAGTTTTAATAAGTCCACATATGATCTAAGGGTAATCTTCCTTATACAGTACGTATGAAAATCAAACTGGTCATCGGTGATTTCTATAAAATGTCTCTCAATTTCGTGACACATTTTAAGTGCTTCACCGAATCTGTTCATGGCTCTGTATGCATGTGCACACTCTGTCTGGAAACACATGCACTGCATTTCATTCAGGTTCTCCACTGCTGATGTTCCTTCCCTTGTAAGCTTGGAGCACATTTCTTCAGCTTCTTTAATCAGATTGGCTTTTAACATGTATTTTGCACACTTGGAATTAATAAATCTGTCTGCTGTGTCCAGGGCCTGGGCTTCATCCATCCACCTGGCAG